TAAATTTGAATTTTTTAAATTATTTACATAATAAATTCAATTTGTATATGTATAAAAAATTATTAATACAATTATGAAATTCAATTTTCTGTATAAGCTCTTAGAAATAATCATACGTCTCTAAAGTTTRTCCTTGTAAAGTTAAATTTGTTCATAAATTTTTATTGTGACTATATGCTGCTGCTATTACTACTACTTTTTGCTATTTAAATCGCTAGGCAATTTTACTGCAACTGAAAATTGTCTTTTTATATTCCYTAATAAGTCATCAAAACAACGTAACCCTTACAAAATTTGAAGTCACAGAAAAAAAAATGTTCAGCACAGTGAACATCAAGAATCTTAATATTATTAAACACAGTAAATACCAATTAATGTTCGCACAAATAAAATGTTCATCATTTACGCGTAGTGCGTACATTCTACATAACATTATTATAAGTAATTTATAATATATAATATATTATAATAAATAATGGTATATATACGATCATTTTACCATAACTTTAGGCCAAGTCCCWTWGCTCAATATTTTATTTTTTRTTAGACATTTTTATTCATTATTCATAATAGTTGSGTTAAATAATTTCGTAATTTGGCGCTTAAAGTAAAAGTCATGTATGTTTGTTGTGTCCGAGTAACCTCATAACATCTATATTCTCCTTGGATTGAAACATATTGCGCATGCGTGTAGCGACCCGTCGGCAATTTTTATATTCGCCATTGAATTGAATGACGATTATCTATCTTTTTAAAACCACGTTGGAAACATTGTGTTCACCCCCGACTTTATTTCGTATAAAAAAGTCTTTCGAATTGTTTGGGATCGTTTAATTTACTTACTCAACCGTCATGGCTGTTGGCAAGAACAAGGGGCTGTCTAAGGGTGGCAAGAAAGGCTTGAAGAAGAAAATGTGAGTTGTATACTGTTTTTCGATAAACGTAACCATACGTGTAAAAATTATTATGTTCTGTAGCGTTTGATTCTGATCGTTTTATAATGAATTGTGTTTCTTATTTTCAGCGTCGACCCGTTCACTCGTAAAGATTGGTACAATGTCCGTGCCCCATGTATGTTTACAAACCGTGATGTCGGTAAAACACTCGTCAATCGTACTCAGGGAACAAGTAAGTGTTATGATAATTCTTGTGTTAACTCTGTTGACTTAAATTAAACTGACTTTGTATTCTATACTTTTGTATAAAAACGTCAAGGTCTGAGTACTTTATTTGTTCTGCGTATTTAAAGTCGCGGAGAAAGTAAAACTTGACTTATCAATATTACTTATTGTATGAAAACAACTCCAACAAAAAATGTTAACTTATAACTTAATACATTTTAGTATGGTGAGACCTCATTATTGCAGAGTAACTCAGTACCAAAGAATATTTCCATTATAATGATACTTCCAACTTTTTAGGTTGTTATAAGAGGTATTCTTTTGAACTGTACTAATGATATTATATTATAACTGTTTAAATTAGTTAAAAAAATTGTATAGGTACTTTAATGTATCTATGTAATAGGCTGAGGTTAAATATTATTTAACCTAACCTAATTAGATAACATTTTGTGTCGCCAATCATTATTCTGGAAATCTGTTATTTTATTTTATTTAAAATATTTTACCTTAAACTTGTAGTTTAAACCTATTCGATGACAAGAAATATAATAATTGGTTATATACTCGATTCATGGTTATTTTTCTTTTAAACATTTTTAACTGTTGGACAGACAATTATATAATCAATATATAATATATATATKTAAGTACCCTTGATGTTGAATATGGGACCGTATTTAGGGGGGAGCTACAGGGTAAAGGTACTGTTGCCCTGGGCACCTAATTTTTTTTATAATTTAATTTTGTATTTTGTATAATGATTAATGAGGCGTATTTTTTTTGTAGCCCCTTGGTGTCAAATTCCTAAATACGGCCCTAGTTGAATCTATAACTTCTAAATCAATGATTTACTGATTAATTTATGCCGTATATTATTATTATTATTAATTAGCATAAGTCTAACATTTTCATGTGGTTTATTCCAATTCTAACAATTATGTTTCGAAGCAATTGAGTTGAACTAAAAATTCTTTAACATTATTTTGGCTTGCATAGTAGCTAGATCAGCATTTTCCAAATTCTTATTTGGGCTGGCCCGGTAATTAATATTTTTACCCTCAAGACCCACCATAGCTATCAATTATCAAGAAAAAAATATAGACATCGCTATATCAGTAATTCATTTGTAGATAATGGATTAGTGCCTTAACAATCAATGACGCTTGTCACATTCATTTGTTACTATTATAATATATTTATAGGCTAATGTCATACTATTCAGGTTTTTCATGAAGCCTAGTTGATAATCTCAATAATTATTATTTATGTTGTAAATAATAGTTATTCGTATTAATGAATTTATTTTTACTTAAAAGTTCAAATTATTAATTAATATTAATCAAATGATAAATAACAAATTCAATATGAGCATTTCAATAAATTCTGCGACCAGGTATTAAATTTTCATGGCCTGGTAGTGGGTCGTGACCCACTATTTGGAAAAAGATGAATTAGATGTATTGAAAAATATATTGTCTCATTGATTCATTTTACCTCCAAGCGTTACCTAAACAATAATAATAACTTGTGAAATTTTTCAAAAATACGCTTCATAAGTTCTAATAAATTAATGATAAAATGATAAGGATAACAAATACATCAATTTGTTACTTAAACCCTGTTTAAATAATCCAGCGTTTCTTAAACTGTGTTCCACGGAACCTTGGGGTTCCGCGTAGATCACTTCAGGGTTCCGCGAAGCTTAAGTAATTTTTTTTWAATGTTCAAGAAAATTACTTTAAAATATCCATTATGGAAAATAATACTTGATACTTGATTCTATTAAATGATAATGTATAAGCCATATGGAATAATCTATCAGCTAACTCTATATATTCAATAATCTATACTTCTACTTAATACATTATAATTTATTTGCAAATAATCC